TGTGTTGACATGCATTAACACCATTTCTGTGATAGCCTGAATTAGAACATTCTCAATATTTTGATTGGCTGAAAGATTGTGCAGTTCCAGAAAATATTCACACTCCCCCCACAGAGGGTTTCATAGGGGCAGGGGAGGGAGGGGGGCTCTGTAAGACCAAAAAATTCAAAGAAACATATGAAGCTTAATTACTTGGAATTTTCAGAGGGGTGGAGGTGTTAGGAAAAACTCTTCTATGGGGCAGGTATCAATATTTTCTGGAACTACGCATTATTTAGTTCAGACAGTACCAACTTAGTTCAGACAGTTCTTCAAATCACCTTCTCAAACTCATTAATAATTCATCAAGTTTAAACAAAGGAAATCACAACCACGAGTCTGATCTTAATTAGCATAGATTTTTATGATTTTATTTCTTCGTTTTCCCCTTAGTTTTCGAAGTCCGTCAAAAATTGCTGGTTTTCAGTGTCACACAATTCAAAATAGATCAAAATAAAAAACAAAACTGGTCAATAGATAAAGTCCAGAATCTGGGAAATGAAAGAAGGTAAATATGCAAAGACTCCCACCCAAATTCTGGTCACAGCAATTTTTCCTATGCGAGATATGCGGAGAAATTTTTTACCCAAATTTACAGAGATTTGTATGGAGATGCCATGCTGGTGCCCATCTGTATGGGCACCAACATGGTGGCCAGAAACCAACAGAAACATCTGTCACTGAGTTTTGCTACAAAAGTGTGAATTTATCTCTCAAGAAACTCTAAAACATTAAAATAATACCTTTTCTAACACATGAACTGTTCAGATAGCCAAGTTCCCCAAAATAAGTCACTTTTTTAACCATCATGACTGCTCTCTAGGCCATCATGTAAATGCCGCGTCATGCAAAAGCTTAGAAATTCAAGCATAGTGTATCACAAAACCAAGAACCCATTCGGAGCGAAAATTTGTATGAATATTAGTTTTCAGCTGCTCTTATACATCATTAAAGTAAAATCTCAGGAAGATCGATAGTTTTGTAATTTGAATTTTAGTGATGTCATGTGAAAACCAGCTATACTCCGCTGTGTGTCGTACTTTCAACTCTCTTCTTGGTGTTTGGAAATGTGGTCATTACTTTTCAAATTACATAGCATCCTTGTGGAAATTAATTAATGGGATCTAGAATTAAAAAATCTGTTTGTTGAGCTTTGAGATCAGAAAGCTAAAGGAATATCTAGGGAAGAAAAATGACATATTAAGATCTGACAATTGCCCATCTCTAACTTCATGTAACATTATTTTATTACTTTATTTATCATGTAAATTGGTTCAAAATTTTCTCCCATAGTTCGTAAAGTTTGTCTTCAGAGTGGAATGTATATCACAAGAGATGACGATTTCAACAGGTTGGTTATTTAGTCATTATCTATAAATTATTACCTATACATAATTATGAGTTGCATGGGATTTTTGTCTCAAAATAGTTTTGCTGCAGACTGTAGCATTTAATTGGTAAACACGTGGGTGTATGAAATTGAATGTTTAACTTATCCTAAAAGTCTATTTTTTTTTTCAGTTTCCTCATTTGGAGTGACTCAGCTGTTCCAGTGGAAAGGATCATAGAGTTAAAATCTTTTCAGGTATTTAAGTAAACTGAATTAATTGAATTTTGTTTGTTTTTGTATAGCCGTACATGTACACGTACTCACATGTTATGACCAAAAGCAATCATCTACAAATATTTTCGATTAATGCAAGTTATAAAAGCTTAGAAAAGCACTGTACAAGTGCGTGCAAATGATGAGGCTGACTGGTGGCCTCATCTCTTGCATTTTCTGTTCCTAAGTCCGAAAATTTAAATGCAGACACTAGCTTCCAGTTTAAAATACATTTAACTGCATGTGCATAGTCCTTATGGTGTCTGTATAAATGTGTTGTAGTGTCTGTTTCTGCTAGTAATTACTTATATGTAGGGACTGAATTTATGTACTGGAAATATGATTTGGCTTCTTTAGTAACTGACGAAAACTGTCAGTGATGTAATGAACAATAGTGAATAGGTCTTGATATGAAATAATTGTGAAATCTTCATTTACTTACAAGATATCGATGTATTGATTTTGATGATTTGTGGGGAGCGGGGATACTGCAGTGGTGAGAGCACTCACCTCCCACCAATGTGGCCCGGGTTCAATTCCGGTTTGATGCCATATGGGGGTGAGTTTGTTGTTGGTTCTCACCTTGTTCTGAGTGTTTTTCTCCGGGTTCTCCAGTTTTTCTCCCTCCGCAAAAAATAACACTCCAAATTCCAATTCGACCACAATAGACTGGACTTGCATGGAAACCAGCTAAGGCTGATGTGTCTTCCTCTCTAAATATTGTAAGTTATTTGTATATGTAAACTGTTAAAGCCAACTATAACGGCCTAGACAAATTAATTAACTAATTAATTTCACTTATTAATTGGTAAAAGGTAAAGTCTGCATGCAAGCCAAGTGGCCCATCACGCCGGAGCTTATCCCGGTTTCTGTAGCATGAAGCAACTAGGAGTATTTCTACTCCCCCCTGGATGGGATGCTAGTCCATCGCAGGGTTACCCCCAGCATTAAGTTCGCCGGTCCCCATTTATACACCTGGGTGGAGAGAGGCACTGTGAGAGTAAAGTGTCTTGCCCAAGAATACAACACAATGTCCCCGGCCAGGGCTCAAACCCGGACCGCTCGATCCAGAGACAAGCGCACCAACCATGAGGCCACCGGTTTGGGTTGTCATTGATTGATTGATTCAATTATTGCGAACAATGGTAACAGTAATGTTGAGGTAACCAACAATTATTTTATCATGTGTATTTCATTTCCACTATGAAGAAAATAAATCATTTTCCAAGTATGGGAGAGATTTGTAGGAAGGACAACCTAGCACGAAACATGGCAAAGTAAGTAAATTGTTTAGTACTTTGTGTTGCAATCACAATCATACATAATGTACTAAAATATGAAGTGTTTCAGTGCCCTTTGCAAACTAACAGAAAAATTGCATCTGTTCTCTATGTAAGTTAATTTATCAATGTAATTTTAGTCCTGCAGTGTACAAAATAATATTAATTTTATGCCATTACTGACATAAAATTTATGTTGTAAGCCATCATCACAATATAATATAAGGTCAGGAAATGACAAAAAGTTATCAATTAAAGTCATAAATGGTTCATAAATTAGTCACCATTTGATGATTGATAAAAGTGGAAATGCCTCCAACAACTTGGGGTGTGAAGAACCAACTTTCTCTAGTTCCAGAAAAAAATTGTGCTTATTAATTAAAGCTTTAACTGATAATTGTTTTAAATTTCCAGAATGCAAAGAGCTCATCCAGAAGAATACAACTTTACTCCACAAACTTGGGTTCTCCCAGCAGAGTATCCTTTTTCATTTGTTTATAATAACATCTGATTATTAGACATGTAATTATATAGTAGTGATTATTACTGGTTAGTTCACACAAAGGTGTACCAAATTAAAAGAAAATTTATTTTAATAGGGTACATTTTTGACTAAGCATGTTTTCCAGATGACTGGATACATGTATGTGTTGAGATCTTTGTGTGTGTTTGTGGACCTGAAGTCTGTAAGCACACTAAAAAGAATGAGGCATAGATGACACCATTTTCTTGCAGGACGCAGTGGGTAATCCTGAGCATGTAAGATAACACCATCTACAAGTTAATACCTACTCTGAGGTAGCCAATGAGTCAGAGCAGGTTTTGATTCATCTTGTCTGCTTGCAGAATTTAACCCATGATGTATATTTACTGATTATAATTAATTGTATCACTTTTGTTACCTCTGTGTGACGTGATGGCTTGATAGATGTTTATAGATAACAAGCCGAGGTATTGATGTACTGTTTAATTAATAATTGTACTCTCCTTAACTTGGACTCCATCTTGTGNTGCTGTAAGGCAAAATTCATCACAATATAATATAAGGTCAGGAACAAGTCAAGTCATAATTAGTCACCATTTGATGATTGATAAAAGTGGAAATGACTCCAACAACTTGGGGTGTGAAGAACCAACTTTCTCTAGTTCCAGAAAAAAATCGTGGTTATTAATTAAAGCTTTAACAGATAATTATTTCAAAATTTTCAGAATGCAAAGAGCTCATCCAGAAGAATACAACTTTACTCCACAAACTTGGGTTCTCCCAGCAGAGTATCCTTTTTCATTTGTTTATAATAACATTTGATTATTACACATGTAAATATATAGTTATGTAATGATATCATTATTACTGGTGAGTTCACACAAAGGTGTACCAAATTAAAATATAATGTATTTTAATGGGGTACATTTTTGACTAAGCATGTTATCCAGATGACTGGATACATGTTTGTCTTGAGATCTTTGTGTGTGTTTATGGACCAAAGGCTGTAAACACACTAAAAAGAATGAGGCATAGATGACACCATTTTCTTGCAGGATGCAGTGGGTAATCCTGAGCATGCAAGATAACACCATCTACAAGTTAATACCTGCTCTGAGGTAGCCAATGAGTCAGAGCAGGATTTGATTCATCTTGTCTGCTTGCAGAGTTTAAACCATGATGTATATTTACTGATTATAATTAATTCATCACTTTTGTTACCTCTGTGTGATGTGATGGCTCAATAGATGTTTATAGATAACAAGCCGAGGTATCGATGTACTGTTTAATTAATAAGTGTACTCTCCTTAACTTGGACTCCATCTTGTGTGCATCAGGTATGCCACATTTCAAGCTTATTGTAGAGAACTAAAGAAAAGGAAGAAACAGAGAACATTCATTGTTAAGCCAGCCAATGGGGCCATGGGAAATGGGTAAGTTTAATTCATAATACCATCAACACAAGAGTGTTTAGACAAATAATTAAAAGCCTATAACAATAAACAACAGCTACATGTATATTAATTATAATCATATACATGTAACAGTTGCCACATGTATATACC